GATTGCCTACCACAATATAAATGCAAGGACTCTATTGAGAAAAATTACAGTATTTTATAAAATTTAGCTTGGTAGTATTTTACATATATAATTCTAGTCTAAAATCTTCTAGTTTTCTATTTTTCAAAGCATTAATTTAAAGTAAAAATTAAGCTTCCTCTATTTGCGGTTGCCTAAATCTTGCTTAAATTTTCAGGATGATGAAGAGCAGAGAGGAATGAGAAGAAATATGCTGTCCTGCAGAATTATATATTTGAAATTCAATACATTCCTAATATTATTAACTGTTAATAGATGGTATATTTTCTAGGGAAGGTGGGCAATTGTATAACAGTAATAAAGCCCAACCCATTTTTAAAAGCTTTCAGAACTATTCAAGATTAAAATCAGCATGAAATATTAGAATATATATACATTTGCATTTTTGGTCTTTTAATGTTTGTAACACGCCCTATGTATTTCCAAAATGCATACCGTAAACAAACATTTTGTTCACAAGAGTTGATTTTGACTAGGATAACTATATAGACAAATGTGCCAGCATCATTAAATAGCTGTGTTGTTTGTGCATCAGCTTTTATTTTCTCTCTATAACAAATTTAATGTTCTGTATATGATAGAGATTAATGACTAATACCTCTCTATATCAAGTCTTTGAGGACACTCTCCTTTTTCCAGGTACGCTTATTATTTCTTATAGTTGTGTTTTTCTGTTTTAGTACTTGGAGACACAGAATCATAGAATCACAGAATATCCCAAGTTGGAAGAGATCCACAAGGATCATCGAGTCCAACTTCTGGGTCCCAAAAGGACCACCCAAAAAATCAGACCATGTGTCTGAGTGCATTGTCCAAACACTTGAACTCAGCAGGCTCAGTGCAGTGACCATTGCCCTGGGGAACTTGTTCCAGTGCTCAGCCATCCTCTCAGTGAAGAACCTTTTCCTAAGACAAAGCCTGAACCACCCCTTTCTCAGCTTCAAGACATTTTCTCAGGTCCTATCACTGATCACCAGAGAGAGGAGATCAACACCTGCCCCACCTCGTAGACCACGATGAGGTCTCCCCTCAGTCTTCACTTCTTCAGGCTGAAGTCATATAGATAGTGAGATGAGATAGTGAGTCATATAGAATGGGTGAGGGGGGTGATTTGGCTCTGCTCTCTTGAGCTATGTCACTCATTTTATTTAAACTCTGCCAATCAAGCAGTAATGTAAGGTGAAATGTGGTTCAATATCAATTTTTCCAGAATTCTCGTGGTAAGATTTCTCTTGCTAAGTCTGTTGAAATAAAGGCTATAAGGAATTAATGCTATCTTCCTGAAAAGACGTTATGATTTTCATTCCAATATTGATAAGGATGCTGTTTATGTAATCTAAAGACAGAATAATGATGGAAACATGAGGTTTTTAAGCTTTATTTACTTTTTTTTCTCTTTTGAGGAGCAGCACTTAAAAAACTATGAAAAAGGCTGCATTCCATTTAAATTAATCGACAAATATATTTGTACAATATGCATTGCAGCAAGCTATGTTCCAGCTTGCAAACTATCCTAGCATGGTCTGCTTTTGATGCTGTTGTATATGTTGTGTATTTTTTTTCTAACTCTTTCATAGTTTGCATTTTTTTTGTCACTCGGGTTAAATATAACAGTAAATAAAGCTGAAGTTTGAGGTATTGGTAGTGCAGAAGTGTTGCCTAATACGTAATTGCATGAATGAATATGAAAAAAATATATATCTAAGGTGATTTTATGGGAAGCAGAGGTTCCCTTTGTAACAGCCTGTTTATGACCCTTATCTATTTAAAAGGTAATTGCTCAAGCACTAAGAGATGTTATTGGCTTTAATTGCTTTGCAATATCTATTTAAAAGCTCTTGCTGGTGATCAAATTTCCTAATTCTTCATTGCTTTTGAGTCATGAATGTTCTGAAGATGGAAATTAGAACACTATTTGTATTACGGTTACTTTTATATAACAAAAAAATGATGCTAGTGACTTTTGGAGCCTTTGTGATGTGTAGTTGCCATACAGAATATTCTATAATGTTTGCAGAAACTCGGTGCACTCTATGGATAACTAAATATTTTTATCTGAAACACTAGAAATTTAACTGAATGTTTTGCATTCATTTTTCATCTGATTATTTAAAACTGAAACTTATGGGGTGGCATTCCTTTTTAAAAATATCTCTTCTTTACAGAGGTTACATGCATGCTAGATCTAAATTCAAGCATATGATAGAGATCTATAGATCTTTCATTCCCTTTATAACCATAACTGCTATACATTGGTAGACATGAATTCCTTTAAATAAGGGAAACACTCAAATTTAACTGTATATGAATATATATTCCTAAGGCATGTTTCAGTACTTGTCTCTTGCTGAAAAAGCAGACAGTTATGGGAGCAGAGATTACTGATCTAGCCTGCTGCCTGTTAATGTACTTAGAAGCATGACATCACTGATGATAAATTTAACATAGATAATTTCTATGAAGATTTTTTTAAAAAAAATCAAGTGGAAGGGAAGCAATATTATGTCAAGGAGATACCAATAAAACCAGTAGGGTCAAGTTTGTATTTGCAGTCCTGAAATATTTTGTTGGGTTTAAAAATTTCACTTTCTCTTTATGCATTGCAATGCATCTTTGTGTTTTAAAGAAGATAGAGTGAATTTCAAACCATGAATTTCAAACCTTTGATTAGAGACTTTCTTCTAAATAGTTTCAGTGTCTTCAATCAGTAGGGATTTATGAGTCACTGAGAGCTCACAGAGCGGAGCTCCTTCAGTTAACTTAGAGAACCAAACTTTCTGATGGGAGTATTGTGCATATCTAGCTGCAAATACTAAGTGGAGAGTTACCTGATTGACTTTCTGCCTGGTATCTACATTCCACTTCTTGCTTCTCACATCCTTCACAGCGCTTTGTATAGGGAAGGGCCCCTGGAGGGCCACAGGGCTCTGCTTTCCACACAGTTCTCATCAGTGACGTATGAAAATAGCATTACTCGGTCTGCACTTAGGATCCTGCTGGCAACAGTTTTAGGATTGACCTCAAAAGCAAGAAAATAGGATTGTCATCTTAATGCACCTCCACCATGTCTGCAGGGCAGTGCATGGCACAAGGTCATCTGGTTTAAAGTGTTTTAAAAAGTCCTGCATGGTTCAGGGTTGTGTCCTACAACAAGAGAGTTAATGTAGTATAACAGGATACTTGCAAATAATTCCAAGGAGCTAATAATTGGCTTTGGTTCTTACAAAATTACACAGCAGGAAGAAATGCTTTATTTAGATTGAGCAAGATGGCTTATTCTGGGATTTCAGTATTTTTGTTTAAATTTATTTCATTTTATGTTGAAACACATAAATATAACTGTGGTTTGAATTGTGTATCATGTTCTGGCAGCAGTGGTTTGAGAGAAACAAAGTTTATGGGGGGAAATGAATTTTTTCATGACTGTCTTGTGAAAAAAAAAAAAAGAATATCAATAACAAAAACAAACAAACAAAAAAATCCAGCAAAACCAACAGACAAGATACTGGGCATGCTGACTCTTCTTTAGGCCTGAAATAGAGGTACCCATCTTCAGGCAATGTACAGTTCAGGAATAATTACTTAAACATTACCTTATCTATGTTAACCAATTAGAGGATTTAAGAGGAATGATTAGCACCAATGGCAGGAGAGAGGGAGAAAGAAAGGATTGTAATTCTTCATAAAGCCAATATATTGATCCAGTCAGTAAAGGGGAGCATTATTCAGTCATCAAATTGAGAACATTTTTTAGGAAGTGGCTGGTCCATCTCTGAGATCACAGCCCTTGAGGGGGACCTTTGAAATACGTCCAAATGACAAATCAGAGGATTAAAAGTCATAATTCCAATCACTACTGAAGATCCTGAATTCTGAGAAAGCATTCAGCTTTAGGCAAATTACAGTTATTTACGTACATCCCTTGCCTCTTGGTTTCTTAGTGTTCCATGTTTGCTTATTCTTTCTCTGTCCTTTGGTCCCACAGACCTCTGTACATGTTAAAAGCAGATCAATAGCATTACCAACTCTCACCTTGCTAATAACTTTTTCTCTACAGGTAGTGATTATGCCTTTCTTTCAAAAGAAACGGTTATACAATAAAGTGGAAGTATAAACAGTTTTCCCCAATCAAAGCTCAAGTTGCTTAGCTTTGAAGGTTGCTACTGACTAAGATTTGGTGCTACTAGAAAGCTTGCCTGCTGTACTTTTTGCCTCTACACCAGTTGCCTAATGAAATCTTTTATGTTTCCTTACAAACATTTGACTTACAAGTTGTGTGTGTTTTTTTAAATAATTTATTTTATTTGCTAAAAATATTAAATGAAATTAATAAAAATTTGCAAATATTTCCCAGGAGAACAAAATATACATTTTCTGGTAAATGTAATATTAGACTAAAAAGCAGAATAATTCAGCTCTACTTGTGAATTCAGAAGCCAGCTGCATTGATCTTCTCTCTCAGTGTCTCCCTAACAGATCAGACACATTTAATTATAAAAAGAACTCAGGAATATTTTAGTTATTGATGCATGATATACAACCAGGTCGAGATCTGGACATCTCCAACAGCTGTTTCCAGGAAGAAGAGATAGATCTGTCCTTCAGGTTATGGGAAGTGGAAGGGGGATTGCTTATAGTCACTGTCAGCTCCCAGTTGAAATAGAAGGCTCCTATGGGAGGCAATCACAACCTTAAGGGATCTCTGGTTTTGTAAGCAGTCAACCAGTGCCAGGGTTGGCTTGACATTGCCAGTAACTTCCCTTGAACTGCAGGACCAGCACAATTAGTGGGAAAAACTGAGCAGAAAACAAGAATATTAGGCAAAGATGCTCATTGAAAAACAGTTATACTTTAGACTTGCTTGTGTTTTCAGTTTTTCACTTAAATTGATTTTATTTATAACGTACTGATGGTTGGGTAATGTCTCCTGAATTTTACTCTCTCCTTTTCTTTAACCATAGATTCCTGTGCTTCTCAACCTGAGTAAAGATCCTGATGTTAACTTGCCTATGAAGCCATTAATCTTCTCGTTGGCCATGGGTGCATGCCTTGGAGGTAAGAGCCTATGCAAGAAAGCTAACATGAGGCAATAACTTTGAAATTATGATATGTATTAACTGGTTCAAATACGTCCAATGATTTTGTTATGCAAAGCATAGCGAGGGCCTCGTGCAGCTCCTTTTGACTTCAAAGGACTCCTGGATAAGGATCCCAGCCACTGTCTGCTGCATAAACTACAATAGGATTTTTGCAGTCTGTGTTTGAAGATGGTATCTGCATAAAGTACAAACACACAAAGCAGCAGTCCAGATGGTGCTTCTGGGGTTCTGACCTTTTGAGAGAGAAAATACAAAGATACATTTAGCTTCCAGAGCAGAGGCCCATCATTGTTCATTGAAAAGGTACATAAAATGTGTAATAGCTGAGATCTGAAGGCTTGATTCAGGGTCTATTGAAGTCACTGGGAGGTTTTCTGGCTTGCTTACGGAACTGGGTTGATTATCCATTTGCTGGCCTATTTAGCACTCCTTACTCTGTGGAAGATCTCATTGAACTATTTGGGAAATTTACCTCAAATAAAGAAAGCTAATAGCCATTCTTCTAATACCCATATTGGTGTTAACTTGGGATTTCTTGTATTTGTCAGTACACTACCATAAAACAAGCAGATGGCTTCATGACTTCATTTATTTATTTATTTTTAGTTAAAAATCTATCATGTTTCCACAGTAGGTCCAAGATTTCCTCTCTATTTGTTTTAACAACAAAGAATAGCAATCCCGTAGTTTTTAAATTAATGTTTGTACTGGATTACTCTATGTTCTGCAAATAGCTTATGAAAGTGTTTTGACACAAACAGCAAGTGTACTAAGTACAATTGAAATGTATAAGCTTTTAATGAGAAATAGAGTTAGCATTGTTTTTGACTACTGAGAGATTTAATGCTAATTACATTGTATTGGTCTGTGTTCTGATCCATAAATATTTAGACAGTTAGGTTAAATAACATTAAAATGGATAGTATTCTGCAATGAATCCACCCCTTCCTACCCCTGAAATCCTTCAAATAGTTTCCTTTACTCTATGGAGATTAAAACCAAAACCAGTTTTGTGTTTAATACAAGTTCTGGTTTGTTTATTTAGCTAAGTGATTGCTAGTACAAGTGACCTTAATACCTAACAAAGATTATAATGATGTAATTTACAGATTGAATTTTAAGAGCGTGTTGCAAAGACAGGACAATTTATACCAAACAAGAGTTATTCATTTTAGGAATGTCTTTTTGTACTCATCATTACTCATTATATTGTGACTTTAATCTGCAAATCTGTTCCTCTTTAAAACCAGTGATTTGAATAATCAGCATGTCTTTATATAGATGTTTGCCATAAAATATCTTCTTTCTTCTCAATTTGCTAATCATCAAAGATACTGATTTCATTAAACTTTCAGATATTTAAAAAAAAAAAAAAAAAAAAGCATAAGGTATGTAAAGTTGGCCAGATTACACTGACATATTCTGAGTAGGAAGCACTTCACCAGCCTTGGAGCCTTTACTGTGTTATCTTTCATCTTTAGAAACATCAGTTGATGTTCCTAAAGTATCAGTTATTGTATTAACCCAAATACCTTTAATTTGATTTTTGAATGGCTGCTGGGATTTTAACACAGACTTCTGTGTGTATGCCATATGAAACAACAATAACAATATAAGCAGTACCATAAGCATTGTTTGAATTCAAGGTAGTAGAGATACATGTATATAGGAAGTTCTCACATATTAAAATAGACTACATATAAGTACTCTGATAAAAAGTTAGAGCATTATCAATGTTTGTGAAAGCTTAAATACTCCAAATAGTACTCTATTAGGATAAAGCTGAGTGAATTATGACTTATACTGCCAAAGGTCTCATGAGAATGTTAGTCTGAAGATTAATATAGTCCTGACTTTCCCTTTTCAAAACCAGAAGCTAATGGATGGCAGTTTATTCTTAAGAAAATATTTTACTTTGAAAAATCTCATAAACCCTCAAAAAGTGGAAGAGAAGGGGCTTTTTAAAAGCAAACAAAACCCAAACCAACCAAACAAAACCCAACCAACCAGCCAACCAAACAACCACAACAACAACAACAACAAAAAACACATACCAAAATAAAAAAAATCATATGGCCTTTAAAATTATTTCCAAAATAAAGGCTTATCAGCACCGAAGTGATATGAAAGAATCCTCAGTATCTAATCTCATTTTGTAATAGGGAACTGAAAATTATATCATTATTGTCTGATGCCTAAAGCAAAAGATTTTATCTTATTGCTCCTTATGCAACCAAAGGAGTTTGACAAACAAGACATTTTGTAAAAGTGCCTGATTAAATAATACATTAAAGGCATAGATTTCAGAGGTTGTTGTTTACTACATAATACACAGCTTCTGTACTTGTAATTGGATGGTGTTTCTTGGGTTCAGGGTAAACACTGCTGTATGCTTACGTGACCATGAAGGGAACATCATCATTTGTGCTTATCTTGGAAATACTGTGCAACATGTTGTCCTGAAAAATTTCCAGTGGGTACAATTTTTCTACTGTCACAAACTGCACAGCCACCTACTGTTTTGGAAGATGATGGGATGAGAAAAGACTGTAATTTTCTTTCATTGCTTTAGCTGTTGTCCTGGAAATGAAAGGATTGAATCAATCTCAAGCAAGACAGAGAGACCTTTGCCAGTATAACTACCATATTGTTGTCATCTTCACCAGTGTCTCCCAAAAGAAAGCTGCTGCTATTAAATTTCTGTCTTTCATGGCATTGGGTTCAGAGATAAGGAGTAACTGAAAAGAGCACAGATGATCCTTGTTCTGTAAAATGTGTATCTGGAAGTGAGAAGGAATGAAAAAATCCTGTCTCTTAATAAAGAAAGCCAACAGCACTGGTGGCCATTGGCAGTTCCTGGTGAGGTGACCACAATTTTGAAACCTTTCGGTCTTCCACAGAATTTGCAGCTCCATTCTGGCAGAAATTTTCTTGGTCAGGTCAGGTTAATCTTATGCAGTTAAAAAGTAAACATAGTAAATTGTCAGGAGATCTAGTTCTGGAAATTTAGAGCTAGATTATCTCTAAGATACTAAAGATAACACAATTATCTTTAAGAATTTATATGAAGTTGTAAATTAGGAGTCTTGCTGCCCTGGGCTCCTTGTTTTGTGCTGGGGAGACTGGCATTTCCAAGAGGCAGATGTTTACTCATCCACTGAAAATGTGAGACACTCTCTGCAGAGTATGGAGGAGCCCTTAACGTACAGAAATTCAGGAGCTCAGAGAGATATCCAAAGACAAGTCAAGTGAATTCTGGCCTTGGGGCCTCTTGGTTTGTCAATTTTTCTGAACGCTGAATAGCCCTATTAGCTCATGTCTGTCTGGTCATTAATGGTCAGGATGTCTATGCAATAGATTGAAAAATTGTATTGCTTACATTTTTTTTTTTTTTATGTATTATCTGCCAGTATTTCAATTGTGCTTTGACTATGAGGGAAAGACAACAATAGGTTTAAAATAAACTGAAGGAAACAAATAAGGAAATAGCTTCAGTCATTTTCTGCGGTGTTCTGGTGTTCTGACAAATATATTCATATTTCTTTTTCAGGAGATGACATTGAATAAAGCTTTATTCATTAATGCTTCCTATTCTAGTACATGATGAAATTATGGTATCTCTTGAGACTGAGATGTACATAGGCCTTCCAACAGTGTGTAGAGAACGCTGCTCTGAAATTTTGGAGCATAAATGAAGATTGCTAGTTCCAGCAATTTCAGAAAAGGAGGAGCTTTAATCGCGTAGATTCTATTGATTTATAAGTTGTAAAATAACAAGAAATATGGATTCAACTCAATTTGAGTAAGTGCACAGTCAGAAATGTACCTGTTAAGACTGTTCAATTGTGTAAATTGTGTAGGACTAGATTCTTTAGTGAGCTGAAGAGGTTATAGCTAAGACATTGCTTGAAAGGATTTTGTACATTTGACATTTGTACAGCTGGCATTTATTTGTCTTTTTATCTCTCTTTTTTTTTTCTTGATTCATAAAAAGTATGTTTGCAAAAAGAAGAAAAAAAAAAGCTTGAGTTAAAAGTTAACTGAAATCGTACTTGAAAGTCACTAGCATTTGAGTTCTCTGTTGCTAGTGTAAGAAAAGTATATATCTGCTACAGTAAGTACTCCAGAAGTCTAAAGGGAGCATTTTCTGTGGCTTATAGTACTGTGCTATTTTTTTTCTCAGTATATTTTCCTGGAGGACAACACCTGAAAGTTGTCTTTGTCGTAATTCTGCTGACAGAGGCAAGCTCTAGGATGCATACAGCTGTATTGTTCTTGCAAGCTTGGTTGTACTTTGAGAAAGGAGGTGAAAAGAGTATTTTTCTTCTAACCTTACAGGGTCAAAACTCAGGTGTGACTAATATCCATTATCCACAGGACAATTACAGCTATTAAAAGACTGAAACCCACACTGCAACTAAAAAGGTTGGATTTCTCTTGGTGGTTCAATGCTGTAGCTGTTCTGACTCTTGGCAAGCCTCTTTACATGCCTGATGCAGATTGGACCATGCACAGTGGAGACTTACTCATTTATTATTCCCACTGATTCTGCTCAGTAAAATCCTAAACTAGCTGTAAAGCTTCAGGCACGGTGAAGCTATAAATCTAGAAATATTGTTTATATTACTAAATCAACCCTGCTTCTTTGCAATATGAGGGAAAAGTAAAAGCCTTCAATAAAACATTAAAATATATAATTCCTAATTAATATTAAGAAAATAGCACCTCTGTAGATCCTTTTGAAGTTCAATTATAGTTGCAACAGATCACATTTGTTTAAGGCTTTTCAATTTGAAATGTTCAAAAAGTATGTCAAAATCCAAAGTGAAAACATAGCAGTTGAGGCATACTACTCAGCAACTACTAGTTGAGTACTCACCAACTGCTAGTAGGAGTACTACTACAAAATTAATTGTTGTATACAACGGAATGTAATTGAAACTGTAGGAAAAAATA